ACGCTCGGCCCCCGCCGGGGGGGCAGATGCAGGCACGGCACTCTCGCGAGAGCCCGGCGCGCGGAAGCGGCGTGGCGTGCGTGGGCCTGTGTCGTGAGGGACCGTGAGGGCCGCGCCGGCCGCTGCAGGATGCCGAGCGCCGCCGGCCGCGGGCAGGGCCAGGACCGCCGCTCGGAGAACGAGGACTCGTCGGCGGCTGATGTGGGTCTCTGCAGGGAACGTGGCGGGCGCGCTGTTGAGGCTCCCCGGGGTGGAGGGGCTGGGCCCAGGCGGGGTTTGGCCGAGCCCGGGGGCACAGCTGCCTTTGGCTTTACCCTGCCTGTCCCCCCATTCCCCCTTCGCCGGGCCCAGCCTCTGATTCCCTGAAGAGCTCTACTCTCCCCAGAAACACCTGAGCTGTTCCTCCACAGCAGGAGGTTTCTGCAGGGGCTCCTGCTGGCCTTCTGTTTCTGACTTGTACGTGAGGATCACAGAGCAGTGCTGACAAGTTGTAGGCCGGTGTTTCTTCGACAAGAAAAACGTACTAACAATGAGCATGAGTTCATTTTGTTATAAAGTAATTTTTGCTTATTCTTGCATCAGCAATAAGGGACTCCAAGTATTGGTGGCTTCCCTAAAGCTACAAATATGCCACAATTCATCAAAAGCAGCCAAGCAAAGACCCTCCCCAAATAAAGTATTTAGTAGGAACTTTGGTTCATGTACTGAATAGAGTAAAATAAATAAACGAAGGGATTTTATTTGAAAATCAATTGACTTAGTTGGAAAAGCAGAACTGTGATATTTTGGTGAAAATGCTGCCTTCCTCTGTGCCTTACCTGTCAGATTTTGTTAACAGTCAAGCTCCACCGGGCTGTGGCAATTACATGTGATCTGCTGGATTTCACAGTGTGCCTGAATATGGGAATGAAATATTTATCTACTTAGGCAGGAGTCAAATATTTTTCGAGGAGTAGGCACATTGTAGAGATAATCACACTAACTTTCTGCTAAGTAATGATCCTCATGCGTGATTGCTGTTGCTGGAATTATTTTTGTCTTCCAGGGCACAATTGTCTTCTCTCCCTGTTGTATCTGAGTCCAAAATGCAATTTTTCTTCAATATTATAGCTAATTATTTTGTGTTCCCTCAGTTAACTCTGCGATGATGTTATTCAGGTTTTTGTATGTTCTTCTTTGATATATGTTTCTCACCTCCATTCTAGGATTATGCTAAGGAAAGATATGGAGTGTCATCAATGATACAATCCCAAGAAAAACCAGGTCAGTTGAAAAACAAAAAAAAGGTTTTGCAAGAGAGGGGGTGGGAAAGAAGGAAAAAAGACGTTATCTACCAAATATCTTCAGTACTTCCTTGAGAAATCATTTGCCAAACTTTTTCATTCAAATCCCACTGCCTTTTTCCCCCTTTATTGGGGTATATTTGGCACTTGTGAGACACTTGCATTTAGAGTGCCATGTCCAGTTTTGGTCTCTGCAGTGCAAAGAAGGCATTAACATTTTGGAGCCAGTCCAATGGAAAGCTACCATGTTGCTCAGGGGACTGGAGCACAGCATCTGGGAAAGCTGGGCTTGTTCAGCCTGGGGAAGAGGAAGCTGTGGGATGATCTTACAGTTTAAATCTACTTAATGGGAAGGTGTAGGAAGGATAAGGCCAGGCTTTGAAGGTGTGTAGTAGTTGGACTGGAGGTCATTGACACAGATTGAAACAGGAAATTGAGATGGGAGAGAAGAAAAAAAAATCATGATCTGGATTGAGAGGAATCTTGTCAGTCTTTTCCCTTGCCTGGACCATGCCTTACACAATTTGTCAGTTTTGTGTCTGTCCACCACTGTTGACTTCGTTTTTTTTGTAACTATTAAATTACTGTTATTTATAATGTACTGAGTCCTGGGATGTCAGGTTTTTTCTGGTTTTGGAGCAAGTTCTGCTATGACTTACTGCAGCAGTGCTCTCTCTCTCTTATGATCCATCTGCCTATGCAGCCTTCTATTTCCTGTGTATGAGCACCAAATTCATTAATACTGGATATTAATATTGATGGCTTTATCAGTTATACCACTCTGAATTCAGGAAATCCTGATTTTCTCCTGATGAGGAATTAGGATTCAGAAAAACTTAGAGGCTAGAGAACAATCTTCCAAGGCAATATCCCAACAAATACTAATCTTTCTATTAAATTCAGTGCATGGAATGGTAATGAGGGAAAGTAACAGACTGGCTTCTTGTATCTTCTTCATAGTAAAATGTAAAACAGCAACATCATCTGTGATGAGGTGATATTTTTTTCTCCTTTGAGTGGTTGTTTTGGTTGATCCCCCTTTAGGAAGGGAAATGCGGACGGTAGAGAAGAGAAGCAGTCACAAGAGCACTCATAGGTTGAAAACAGCTGAAGGGGAGCTTTATATCAAGAATGTAACAGAACAAGAGAATCAGCAGAGACTGAATTAGCAGTCATTGTTGAATAAAATACATTCTAGCTGCCAGTGAAAGAGAGCTGGAGTTCAAATCACGTTGGAAGCAGCTCAGCACTGTGTTTCCTCTCGGATTCAAGCTAACAACTGTATGGAGGACCTGAGCTGGCAGATTGAGATGGCAGATCCAAGTCCTGCTTTCATGGAGAGATTCCAACTGTCTCATATTCAAAAGAAACACTCAAAAGTACTGGAGAAAAAAATATGTTGAGAGGTGAAAGCTACAGGAAATTATATGAAAAAGGCTGAGTGTCATATTTAGTTGTGTCGTCCCCTTGACCATTCTCTTTAAAGTTAAAAAAAACTTCTCAGTGTATGGATAATGTTGAGTGAGTTTTCCATTTGGCTTCAAATGCAATCTACAGCTCTCTTGCTGTTCTGTAATTTTAGAAAGTGATTATCCAGAACACCAAAATTGTGTAGCAATAAAGAACAAAATGTCTATAACAAAAAAGCTGAAGATCAGCCTAGTCCTTGAGACTATGGCACTTTTATTTACAGACTCAATAGTTCCTGCCAGGGAGGGCTCTTGCCAAAGGGTTCACAGGAGGGTGAAATACTATTTGTCACCAGTAGCTACTTGCTTTGGGTGTCTTGGAGGAGCTGCTGCTTGGGACAGGGAGTGGTGGATAAGCACAGATAGGCATGTTCCCATCTATCTGAAGTGTGTTCATTTTGTTTCTGAAGTCTGTGTGAACTCTCTGAGGTCTGCCTGCCATTTCTAAATCAGAGTAGCCAACGGTGGTACGAGTGTGCAGCCCACACAGCATCTGGTGAGCGGAGCCCTGGCTGGCAGCTCAGAGAGAGCTGCAGCAGTGGTGCTGTTCTGCTTTCTCAAGTTGCTGCACTGTCCTGGGGTCACTGGCTGGACAGGGCACTCACACAGCTTACAATGATCAGAACAAGTTACTCTTCCTTTGCAAGAAGTAAGCTTATTGTCCTGCCATGCTGATAGATTCTTGTTCCTCTGCAGGCAAATTAAAACTTTTCTTAGGTTCACAGCTTTGTTTCTCCACCCTGCTCTGTTGAGCTCACACACACCTGTGCCTTCTTTCTTGGTCCACTTAAATCCTCTGCTTATGTTGGCTGCCCTAGCTATCTGATGCGCTTGCCTCCTGTCATGTCAGGTCTAAGTCCTTCCTGTCTGCTTGAGGCTATGATTGCTAGTACAACTCCATTTTTGGCCATTCCTTTTTTCTCCCTTCAGATCCTTTATCTCATATCCCCTCTCTGGAAGCTGCTTTCATCTAATATTGCTTTTGATTTTCAGGCTTTTATGTCAAACTTGCCTTCTGTTTTTTAAATTTTTCCAGTACTTTGAAGATGCTGGCACTACACAGAGACAGCAGAAATATTGATCATAGTTTTATAAATTCCACTATACAGGATAAATTATCTTAATAAACAGGTTGTTGTGACAGAAAGGGAATGAGGTCTCGAGGTGAAAAAGTGTTGTTTCATGTATGCTACACAGCTTTTTGGACTTTTATCCTCTCCTCCCATGTTTAGAAGAGGTTGGTGTTTTGAGAGAAAAATAATAGTATGTTAAGAAGAAGAGATTGGGCTATACATTAAGGTAAAAAAGAACTAGATTTGGGAAGTGTCAGAGGAGGGAAGCAAAGTGGCATAGTTGCTACAACTAGCTCATTGCAGTGGAGCACAGTGACAGGAACAGAGGCAATGGGCACAATGAACATGAGGAAATGTTTTTTTTTCCTCTGAGGGTGACCATATTGATATAGGATTTCCCAGGAAGAGTCCCTTCTTGGAAATACTAAAAAAAAGTCGGAGCATGATCCTGTACAGCTGGCTCTATGCCACCCTGCTTGTGCATGGCATTGGGTAGGATTACTTCCAGAGACTCCTCCCAGCCTCAGCCGTTCTGTGACTATGTGATCTGCTGTTGGAAGAAAGGGCTTTATGATGTCACCTTAGAGATACTTTTTATTATTTTTGTGTTAAATGTAATTTAGAGGTAATTTTAACAGTCCGAATATCAAGCTCTGAAGGTTGTGGATTGTGATGGTTGCTGTTTCCTATAGTACTACACAAAGTTCGAGTATCAGAAATTAATGATAATGGAAAATGATAACATCTTTATTCCCATTTCTCTCTTCCCCAGCACAACAACACGCATGCATTCACACATACACACTTTATGAATATATTTGAGTCAATTTCCTGTCATATTTCCCTGTACACTTCAGTCTGTTCTGGATTTGATACTTGTCTGTGAAGAAAGAAATTGCACTGAAAGATAATAAAACTTTTCAATCCCCTAAAATCCCCAGTGCAGGATAATAGGCTTGCAGGGCAAGCTGTGACTAGTATTCAGAGGCAGAAGGAAGGAGTCCAGAACAGCAGATGGTAATCTGGAGTGGGCAAAAATTGTTTTTTGTTTTGTTTTTTTTTTTTCCAAAACTTAAGAAAAGTTCTGTCAGGAAAAGTCTACAGTGGAAGTGCCTTAGCAAATTTAATGTTATTTTGAAATGAGGGAGAAGTTTGTGAGGAAAGAGTCATGCAAGGAATAGCAGCATGCACCTAGCGTATTGTTAGTTCATAATGGTTGTATACAATTTTTAAAGTCCTGATTTACTTAAAAATATTTTCCGTGATAACTTTTTTTCCCTATGCCATTCAAAATCTGTCCTTTCCAAGCCACGCATTTCTGCTATTATTTAACTTTTCAGCTACATTGGATTTGAAGGGTATTTCTGATCTAGTCTTGGCTCTGACAGTGATAGTAGTGCTTGATCAGGTTGTCAAAGAGATTCTCCTAAAATGAATGTTATCCATTTTACTCAGTAATACTTTTGTTGCTCCAAAATGCTGTTATTTTAATAAAAATAAATACTTTAAAATTTATAATGCAAATTTATTTGTGGTTTCTTTCCTTGCTTTACTTTAAATAATAGTTATTTTACAGTTTTATTCATCCTACTTATGTAAGGTGGATAGAGAGAGTAGTCATGTCACCTCTGAGCCTTTGTTTTGCTGAGTTCTACACAGCAGCTTTGATCTTCACAGTGCAGCAGGTCATCCCTTAGGCAGCAGAAACGCAGATAGTGTGCAGGTAGTACAAAACCAGTGTAGTCATGCTGGGTTCTGCCATCCATGAACTGTAGTGAGTCTTGCTGTTGGTAAAGTGCAGTTTGACCCTGCTGTGTAAGTCAAAATTAAGCTTGAACAATTTAAAGCTACTGGATCAAGTACAAGTCAGTAAGAAAGGAAATGGGATCTTGGATGTTTTCAGTAAGTCAGTTACCCTGTTGATACAAAAAATAATGTTTTGGATTTATAATCAATTTTCTCAATAGCAATGATAGAAAGTGTATTTGGAGTTTAAAGAGAAAAACTTTTAAAATGTGTGTTTTTTTCTATAATTCAGATAGAGTTTTGGTTCGTATAAAAGACTTGACGGTGGAGAAGGCTGATGAAGAGGTTTGGGTTCGTGGCAGAATTCACACCAGCAGAGCTAAAGGTGAGAGGCCTCCAGGGTTTTTGGTTTTATTTCCTCATGTCATTTGTACAACCTTAATGTTTATTTTGGTTTCATGACCTGTTGCTTACGTCTTACATTCAAGAAAACTTTGTCACCTGGTTACTCAGGGTTGCCTCAGTGTTTGACTGGTTCTTTTCTTTTTCCCAAAAGGGAAGAGGAGATTTTGGTTTTAGCTATGTGGAAATCAGTTACTGTAGTAAAAGTAGATTTTTGTTTTTCTTTATTGCTAAATAATATATGGACACTTGTAAATAATACTAATTAAAAAAATGTCATCATTCTACTTAAGGTGTCAACAGTTGTGAGATTAAACACTTCTAAGCTCCTACAGTAAAACATACTTGTATTATAAATGTCTCTGTTGTCAGACAGGTCATATTTCTACTGCTACACATGTATATTTTCACCACACGTTTTCTTTGACAGAAAACAAAAATCTGTTAAAATTTCACAAATCTTACTTTCGATTACTGATATCTTATTATATCAATTTGAGCTTCAAATAAGAAGCATCATCTTTCTTTAGCAAGACTAAAGGGAAAGCCTTTTGTAGGTTCTCAGCAGTGAGGGCTGTCACACTTGGCTGTCTGACAGCCATATTTCTTCCCTGGAATCAGAAGTTCCCTCTGGAGACCAGGTTGCCATATGCAAATTTCAATAGGCTTTGGCCTTTGCAGTTAACATCATATGCTGACAACTGTTGTACTGGTTTCAGTTGAGTTTGGCAGCTCTAGAGATATAAATAACTTGTCTTTCCAAGAATTGAAAAAAAAAAAAAGAGCGCATAATGAAATTGTCTTCAGAAACGAAACTTAGCAGTAGTCTTAAAATTGGGAATGATGCAAATTAGGGGTGAGAATCCAGTACACAGTATCATCAGAGATAGCAGATTAATTTCTCTTTTTGAGAATTCATTTCCTTAAAACATGTCCCTCTTAATGAGTGTCTGTGCTGCAGTCAATTAAAATAAGGAACTGCATTAAAATATATACATATGATGCACATATTAATTTGTAGTAGTATCTTTAAACTTAAGGAATCCTCTGTGATTTCCTCTGTAATTTTTGTAATGGAAATCTCTCAGTTAATTAAAGAAATTGTCAGTTCGAAAAGCTGTGAAACCCTTGGTGATTACATCATGAAGTTGTTCAGACAGAAGACACTCCCTCAGATTTAAATGTTACTGTTGTTACGATCTGTACATAAATTAGAGTATCCTTATGGCTTTTTTTTTTTTTTGCAATTATAGGAAGAGTTCAAGCTATTAAAGGCATTTGGGATATTAGAAGCAGGTATCTATGCAGACCTTGAAAGCAGTGTAAGATTCTGTAGTTGTCGCTTGCTCTCTGTAATGCGTTGATGTGTGAGATCTTGTATGATATATGCATTTCTGTCAAACACAGTAACATGTCTGTAACAAGTCAATATGAGCTTAAAAGAAGCTGTTGTAGTCCTTCACTTTGACCTCAGGAAAGACTTTAGTTTTTGATGAAACAATAGTGCTTATTTTTAAAACTCTTTAACACAACCTGAAGAATGAAGGAAGAAGGAGTTGATCATGAGTATGAATGATCTGAATGTATTGATGATGTGTCTTGTTCCCTCTGACAACACAGAACAATTCTGACATTCAGGGAGTGCTGCTAGGGAATGTCGTATGCTTGTTTACTTAAACTTTGGGGAAAGAATCTTACAAGAAGAGCAAATGTTTAAGACTAGAAAGTAATATTAGCCTTTCCCACACACAACATGGCACTATTCCTACCATGTGGAAAGGAAGACCTTGCAGGAAACAGGAAAATCTTTCACAAAAACAAGCTTTAGTTTTTCTCAGAAACTTGAATTTGACACCTAAATAACCAACATAGCCTTTATTTAACCCTGTCTGTTCTGAACAATAAGCCAAAAAAAAATTAATGGGAACAACTGCAGATTCCAGATGTCTCCCATAACAAGTCACCTCTGGAGTCTGATGGAAATTAACTGAAGGATGTGTAAAGAATGGGGTGTTGGGAATTTCTGTGGGTTGTACTAAAATAGAAGAGCACAAGGCCCTGTGCTTTGTATCATAGATTGAATAAATGTTATTTCTGGCCTTATTTTAAAGCCAGCCTAATCTGCTGATCATGTTTATCATCAAAAAGCCCTTGGGAAATTGGTCTGGGTTTGGCCAGACATCTGGGGCTTGTGCAGCATGTTAGACCTGAACTAGATTTTGGGTTTTGAATCCAAAGGTCTATGAAACATCTGAAAATAAGACTTCCACCAAGAGCAATGTAAATATTGAGCCAAATTTTATAATAAACCATGTAAGGTCTTCTTTTAGTTGGCAAACGTATCATTTAATTTATACAACCAACATTTTTTACTCTTTATACAGGTTACTTCCTAACATCCATTTCTTTCATAAGGTCTTTTGTGACCTGTTACTTTTATCCAACACAGACTATGGATTACTGGATGGTTTATATGCTTATTTTTGATGGAATTCTCTTATTTTTTCAGAGCCTGAACATTCTATGCATTTTACTGTTTTTAACCAAATTTCTTTTGAAATTTATAGTCTCTTAGGAATTCTTGTGGAACATGGTATTGTTTTTTTAATAGGAACTTAGAGTAGTTTACTGTTGAATATGAGTAAATCCGGTGCAATACTTTTCAGCTAAACACTACTTAAGTTTCGAAACACAGGGAGAAGATCCCCTTGTCCAAATTTTTTCTCACTCAAATCATTCCTTTTTCCCATCTCCTGATCTGGAAAGGCTTCTAAGCCTGAGCTAGATTTGATTGTGGCTGGTCTTTTCTATACTTCATTTTGAATGCCTTCAGATCTCTCAGGAAAAGTTCTCTTCCCTTTTTAATCTTTGTGATTAGGATATTTTAACCAGCCCTGTGAGTGAGGTCCGTTTGGTCACTTATCTTCTGTGTGATTAGCAGTTGTTGCATTCTGCGAAACATCCTCTTCCTTCATGAAAACAGCTACTGTTACTCATGGCAAAGACATTTGAGTCCTTTTATGATGTAGATATTCATCAGGCTTCCAGTGTTTGGGATTAAGTACAACGGCCAGATTTTTGGATGAGGATCTGAGCAAGCTGGTCTTGGTACAGATATCTCTGCCCATCACAGGGCATTGCACTGGATGGCTCTTAAAGGTCTCTTCCAACCCAAACTATTCTGTGATAGCAGGTCCGTTCTTTATTGTCCTGTGTTATAGCTGAGTTACATTGTAGCTGTCTTCAGCTGAGCATTTTTTGTTTGAACGTCAGTGCTGAAACTTAGATCATATTTTGCTAAATTGTTTGTGACTAAAATCATGGAGTCAAATACTATCTGCTAGGAAATATTGTAGCCAACCACACTGTAAGAAACACTGAGATGTCAAAGATATAAGATAGGACTCCCATATCTAAAGAAATTCAGCATATCCTCTCCTATGGAAAAATTGTACTTTCTTTATTGACTTGCTGGATCTGAAACACAGCCTGTATTTTTCTAATTTGAATCTGTTATTTAATGTTTGGCTGCAAGAAATACATGCATCTGTGCCATATTGGATGTTGCAACCTCTGGAATACAGAAGTAGTTGTACTCTGGTTTCCGAAAATACTTAATTAATCTCGTTACATTGTTGTCGTAGGACAAGATTTGTTATTTCCAACAATTATAATTAATATTTAATAATATTTTGTACTAGTTTTGTATGTTTGCTTTTATTTCCATGAGACAGTGTGTTAAGGGTTCTGCATTTATTTTCTGATACTCTTGAATTTTCTGTAGCTATGTGTCAGGAGTGGTAATTTGCATAATTACAAATGAAAACTGCAACTGGCTTTTTAGTGTCAGTTTTCAAGTTAGGTATGTGTTGGTTTATTGGTTTAGAACTTAAGTCAACAACAGTAGGGAAGTAGCTGTCTGTAACAAAACTTCTGTCTTCTTCCTATTCTCATAATTTCAATGGAAATGTTATGACGTTCTGAGTCAGAACCTGGGGTTAAAGTCATACTGGTGCCTTTATCAGATACTGGCACACCAGTGAAACGGTTGTTGTTAGTTTCTCTCTGGGAAGAAGCATTTAAAATCACCACATTTCCTTAAAACTAATTTAAAATAAATAAATAATAAATGAATAAATGATTATTAGAGATGTGAGAAGTATGAAACGATTGTAACTCAGCTAAATAGATTAGAAAGAGCTTTGTTGACTTGGAAATACCCATTTTAAAAGTCAACAAAATGCTTTATGTTCTTTGTACATTATTATTAATTCCTATTAACTTCTTTTTCCCTAAGCTGTTCATGAATAAATTGCTCTTACAGGAATTTTTAATTGGGTCTTTTAGGTTCTTGTCATTCACTAGAATCAATACTCCTTTTGTTCCCCTTCATTCTGAATGTGTGGTGTATTGTAGAATGAACATTGTTGGTTTAGTCCTTGTGGTGCAAAATCAAGCCTAATTCAGAGCAGCTTTATAAAGTGAACTCTACAGCTTTGATTTGAGAAGATGAGAAAAAACTTCTTTAAAAATAGTTTATAGACTTGAAGTAGTTGTGAGCAAAGAAACAAGGAAAAGTCTGTTCTATTTCTTGCAGTTGAAGAAAGTTACTTTAAAAGTTACGATTCACTGTTTTTCTTTTGTCTAAATATTCTTTATCTTGGAAAGCTTAGTGTTATTTTTAGAAAATGTCCATTCACATGTTTATAGATGTAAGCACAATATTTAATTTATCTCAGTGTTTGTGTGTGTGTGTGTACATATACAGCTGAGGAATTTGAAGCAGCTTTTTTGGAGGGGGGGCAGCAATGAGTGTGAGAGACGCACACTCTTAAAAGCTCAGTTTATATTTAAGTAGTAAATAATTTTTTCTCATTCATAAAGACCTCAAGTAACTTGTCCTTAATACACCTGTGTTGTTTCTCTTTGTATTCAGGGAAGCAGTGTTTCTTAGTCCTGCGTCAGCAGCAGTTTAATATCCAGGCTCTTGTGGCTGTGGGACAGCATGCAAGCAAGCAGATGGTAAAGTTTGCTGCCAAGTAAGTAAGCAATTATATCCTGTTGTCAGAGTAAACAATGGTGGGAACCAGGACTCCCAAGGGTTGGGACCATTTTCACACATTAACATCAATGCTTCGTTTGTTTTAAAATGTAGTTATTTAAATTGTCAGCTCTCTATTGCGTTGAATACATTATACTGACAAAAGATAAAATAGAGAACAGGCTTGAAATTCATTCTGAACTGCTGAAGCAGCATTCTCTCGCCATAGACAACCTACATTTTCTTCCAAGCTGGCTAACAAAAAGTCTGGCAAGCTGAGCTTAGTGGGCTACTTCATTTGGTGTGTGGTGGTGCTGTGTGTCTGCACATGTTCAGTGTTTTTCTTCTACCAGACGTGCAGTCTAGTAATACATTTTGTACTTAGAACTGATGTGAAGAAGTCCCATGTTGCAAGTGGCTTACTGAGTTGAAATTAAAAGTAGCTTCTGTGCACTGGGTTAGTCATATCTACACCTTATTTTTGGCACTAAAATTTTAATTTAAAAAAATTTGGCAGGGATAATAGACTTGCCATTTAAAAAAATTGTTTGTTGCAGCAATTTGAATTCAGTTATTTGGTTTGTTTTGTTTCTAAAGATAAAAAATTACCTTTCCCTTCTGTTTGCATCAAGACTATGCTTTCAGGTTGTCCTGTAGTGAAAATGTTTGTGTGACAAATATGCTTTATAGTAGAGCTTTAATCATGTCTATCTACTTGTTCACAAATAGAAATGTGGATCAGTTCTGTACAGTTTATTTGGTGCAGAATATGTTTAACATGTGGCACTTGAGTTGCTTCTGTGTAGTTCTTGGCACTACTCTCATGCCTAGGAAGGGAGCCCCCAACTAATTAGTTGCAAAAGTGCTACAGCCTTCAACCTTCAATATGTCAGGGAAGGGAAGGATTCATTATAGTAGAGACTTCCAGAAGCCAAGTTAAGAAGGTTGGGATAATGCTTCTGCTGATGGGGTTCAAGGCAACAGGAAAACAGAACCAGCAGTGTTTGTTTGGCGGTGCTCAGTGCTGGCAGTGCCAGTGTGAAACATGCTGTTCACAGGTGTTTGTGAGCCAAAGTGAAGTGTTCTGTTTCTTCATGAAATGATTTGTTCACTCCAGCGCTTGGAATCTCTAAAAAGAATGAAGTGTATAATGTACTTGTTCCCTAATTCATCTCCCTCGAAACTCCCAACTGTCTGCCTCTACTCCCTTGAGAAACTTGTGCTACAGAACAGTGAAACAACCCTTAGAGTTGTGATGCACTCTCTCCTATTCTCCAGTTTTCTCCAATATCTCTCTTTTTCTATTTTCTTCTTGGTTCTTCCTTCCACAGCTGAATTTCTTACATTTCATGATTGGTAGATCTTTGTGGAGATCATGAGAGGCAAGCTGGTCCTTATGCTATTTTTCGATATGCTGTCTGCTACTTAGAAACCTTCTGTGATAGTTTTTTGTGATTCACCGATCTTCTTTTACTCAGTCAGTTTTCTGCCAGATAAGTGATTTAAATCATGTCATGGAGGTCCAGAGCTAACAAGGAATGTAAATGGTGGAAGAGGGTATATGGAAGCAGTAGAGGGTAAAGCTCCTTTCTCTTCTGGCAGCAGTGAGCTGCTTAGATCAGGCAGAATCTCATCCTTAGGTTCTTCCCAACTCCCTGTTGCCTCCCCTCTTGTTGAGACAGACTTGAACTCCTCAGAGTAGCCAGACTGATGACGCTTATACTATGTTTTGACTTTTCCTTCTGATCCTTTTTTGGGATAGCATTTTCTAGCTGAATCCTGGTACTTCAGCTTCACTTACTTTGTAGCATCCATGTTTCCCATCCCATTTGTACTTCTGAAATGATAACATGCTCATCATCGCATTCTCTGAGTGGTGTAGCTCTATTAAAGCTTTCTGGATTTTCTTTTGGGAGTTTGCTTTTGGTTTTTTTAACACCATTAGTGCAGTCATCTCCTCAGGATTCCTTCCCACCAACAAACCTGTTTTATTAATATCCTGCCATGCTCTCACTTTTTCCACTGTTTCATCTCCTACAATTCTGTCTGCTGTTGCCACTGCAGCTGCCTTTTGTCCTTCAGAGGCTGCTGCTATTCCCTGCCTGGTGAGTGCACATGGGGTCACTGTGTCAGCAGCACCTGAAGCAGAGCCCCAGTACGTGCCTGTGTTCAGTCACTTCCCTGCTGCCTTTCACCTGCTCTGGAGTGATCCCATTATTTCTAGCAAATGAGGCTGGGCTTAGATGTCTAAAAATAACTATCCTGTTTCCCTGCCTTTTTCAGTGTCTTTTTTTATCATAGACTCACAGGACTGCTAAGGCTGGAAAAGACCTTCAAGATCACCAAGTCCAACGTAGCACCACCATTATATCCTCATTTCCTACATGTTAAATGAGGAAATATACATTTATTGAAAAAAACGTTTAACTCAAATATCTTAAATTTCAATTAAATTTTTAAATGCTTTCACTGATAGTATCTAAACTATATTTTCATTGTGCTATTTTCTCATATTTTCTTAGTGTGTCCACAACTTTGTTTAAAGTAGATTGTAAAATTCTGGATCTTGAATTTTTAATTTTAGTTGATGAAATAATGAGCATTTTTGTACAAATTTTCAGAAATTATAAACAAACCAGTTCCTCTTTTAGATATTGGCACATGGAAACCAAGAACTTTCATCATGTTCTGTGGTCAGCAACATTTATACAATAATTACCACCATTATCATTAGAATGTGAGTTTTTAGTGAAAGATATTTTATAGTGATTCAACTCAGGTTTACAAAGAAATTTCTGTGAGTTTAACCATGGAAAGTTTCAAGTTGAACTTCCAAGACAAATATAGCACAGAGTCAGTTGAGGTACTGGATTGGCAGCTGTGGAATTGCTCTTTTGTCTTTTATCAATAAAAAACAATTCAGCCTGGTCCTGCAAGGGATAATGTGTAAGAGAAACAGTTAATTGTTTCTTTTACACAGCAGAGATGCCAGTTAGTGTTGTATCTTAGTAATTTATCAACCTGCTTTTTTCCATCAAGCGTTGGGTGTGGCTGGTTTTGGTTTTCTTTCTCCTTTTCTATCTCAGAATTGAGCCTTTCCCGCCACCCCACTGCCAGAGCCACGTGAGCTGCTAGAGCAGCTGGGAGAGGTGGTAATATAGCTGCTCAAAAAATTTGCCCTTGCACAGGAAGTAACTAGATGGCTCTTTGTAGTAGACTAGAGAATAAAAATGCAGGAAAGAGATTAAAATGGAGTGGGAGTAAAGTGGTTAAGTTGTATGAAAAAAATTCATAATGCAGATAAACATATGTAAGTTCTTTAGCTAGATAAATTGATAATACCAGGAAGACTGCTGGATATTGCAGAATGTTTTCTTTATCAATTTCTGGTTTTTATATCAGAAGGCTGGAAGAAAATGTCAAATTGCAGTGAAGTTTGCTGGTGACACAGAAATTGAACTGGTTAATAGGGACTCAGGAGTGTATAGTAACCAGGGCTCATTTAGAATAATCACTTCAGTGCTCTTCAGTGTGAATTTGTACCTTTGTGATTGGTCAGATTTTGTGGGTATTCAGGATTAATAAATAAAAAAGTGCAGAGAGAAATGTGAGATTGTGATAAATAACTGACTTGACAGAAGCCTATGCAGTTCCTGGAGTTTTGGAGAAGAGGAATAAAATTTCATTAATATAATATATGCCTGGTTTTAGGCAGTTTTGGAGTATTTTTTCCACTTTTGTTGTCTTTGTGTCTGAATACATGTCAAATTGGAAAAAGTTGATGGTGAAGTTGCAAGAAGAAATGATATATGATCAGGCAAATCTGCCTTATGTGAGACTAAGAAAACTCTTCTATCCTGGAGATATTAGTGAGTGATTTAGATCCCAGTCTGGTGATGCTATGCAAGGTTTTCTGCCATTGGGGGGGGTCTTTACAGTGCAGATACAAAGGTATGACAGGATGCAAGGAACAGAGGATGAAACTAGGGGAATTTAAAAAGGAAATAAAGTGTAGAGTTTTTTTGTGATAATTACTAAAAATGCATTGTGGATTTTTTTACTTAAAATCTTTAAAAGCAGATTGGCTTCTTTTTTCCCCAGAAGATACCCAGGTTCAACCAAGCATTAGAATGTTGGTAAAGGAAACCAATCATTACATTTTTAGAATGAAGAGAATAAGAGTAGGTGTTTTCCTGGCCTTTTTGTATACAATGTCAGGTAATTTCCATTTTGGGGGCTATATTTGTGCAGACAGGATTTTACAGTTGCTCTTGTTGAGTACAAAATGTTTATATTCCTATTTACAAAATATACTCATTTTTTGAAAGTAAACCACTGCCTTCACTTTTCACTGGCATTCAGATAAAGGATCATTGATTTTTATGTATTAAGACAATTATTTAATATTTTTAATTTAATAATGTATTAATATGATTTGTGCAGTCTGCTTACAGAAAGAGGTTGAAGAAAAAAGAACAAAATGCCAGAATAAGTGTAGATGGTATAGAAGTAAACATTTTCTATTTAAAGTCTAAAAATAACCAAGTTTCTTCCTATTCTTCAGGCTTTTGACCAGGGAAGTGTTGATTGTGATTCACTTTGGGAGGCCAATATAGGGTTCAGCTTGCAACATGAAGCTGTTGATGAAAGATGTTGTTATAAAGACTGCAAGAATGCAATCCTGTGGTTAAAAGGGAAAGTCTTGGCTAATAGACATGCAGCTAATTAAGAGAGACATAAGGCATCTAGTGGACACTTTAGAAACTATAATTTTGATTCTTTTGAACATTACATATAAAATAGTTTCCTATACAGAGAAATTTTTTATTGTTGGACTTCATGAATCTATATACTTAAATAGTTTCTTTTTGGATTAAACAATGTAAAGATGTCATCTGTCTTTTCTTAATGCCTTATGCATCCTACTTTAATTTCTAGTCCCTGGTAATATTAATTACAGATATAAATGTTGTTGTCCTTAAGGGAAATGGTGGTACTTTGGCATGTTTTTCTGCTACTTGTTCACTTTTGTTGGTGTTTCGGGGTTTTTTTGTTACCCAGGGGAATTTTGTCGGAAATCACCTAGATGACTTAGTCCTGCTGCTGTGGGAGAATGCTTTGCTGTAGTTATGGGCATTTTATTGAAACATCTTGTTTCTTGTTACAACTTGAACTAAAAATGCCATTTCAGTAACATCCTTGGAATTACCTGTTTGGATCAAAGCAGCACCTTCCAGGTTTCTGTAGTTTACATTTGATGCAGTGTTAGGGACTTCAGATACTTCCAGCTCTAGATCTTGCTGAGCATGGTTCAAACAGAACTCAAAACACAAGCTTTTATTTCCATACTGGATTAAATGTCGAGTTGAAATGAGGAAAAGCATATTTTTAAATTATCAAATGAAAGTTTAGAGGTGATGGATGTTTATAAATACAAAGATGGTCACATGCAATAGGACCCTTCCTAGTGCTTTTGTGTGCCCAGGCAATTACTTGAGTAATTGAGTACAGGGACCCACACAATTAGCTCAGCTGAAATACTATTTAATATTTATTTAATATTAAAATTATGGCAGGTGTAATAACTAAGGAATGCTACAGTTTTAAATATGTTCCATATCAAGAAACTTGTTTTAATTGCAACTCCAGTGTAGAGATGGAGAGAAACCTCATATTATCCGATGTGCTAAGCTTTAAAGTTATGCAAGTTTGCAAAGCAATATTGCAGGTACAGTTATGTAAAACTCAGTTTCTTCCTGTATTTTTAACCTGATACCATTTTGCATGTTGAATTCCTTGCACGTTCTGATCAGAGCTCTGTACACACTTCACTAACAGCTCTCATCCATAGGATCACCAATCTAACTATGACTCCATCATACAACACATTTATATTTAACTATTTTCTTTTTCACAGCACAGAGAATTTTCTTCAATAAATTTAAAACATGATTTGCTATTATTAGTGAGAAGGCTTTTATTCAGCAGATTAGAAACAGATATTTTCAGTGAAGACACTGCTATTCATGTCATTAGTGGTGTTTTCTGGACATTTGCCAAAATGTTGACATGGAAAAGGAAGTGGGAAAAATGAGAACTGTTTAGGGAAAAAGAGTTCACATAAGAGTAAAACTAATTCTTTTAAACATTCATGCATTTGAAAAGCAAAGGGAATTTATAATTACACTTAATACTGGTTTAGCATCATATATTCTTATAGATGATCATGCTCTCTTGCATCTAAAGTGCTGTATTGCTTCTACAGTCTGCGTAAGGAGTTTCAGACAGAATCACTTGTAATAGAAAGTACTTGGAAGCACTTGGTGTCATTTCAGTTGCTAAACTAGTGGAGATGGAGGCTCACCCATAACTAAATGGATTCTTATTTAAAGCCTGCTCTCAACATCTACTGTGTACAAATTTAGTTGTGATTTGAGCAACTGTAGATCTTCTAAAGTGTAAATGTACCAGAACATGCTGTTCACAAATTTAATGCAGTACATGGAATTATCTATGGTTAAGCAAGTCAAGCATGTGAAGCACCCTTCTGTATTAACTTCAGAGCAGCTAAGTTCTATCACCTGAAAGTATTACCATAAAAAAAAAGGGTAATCAGCTAAAATACTCAAATTTGGCTTTTTATTTTTTAATTAATTGGAATTTATTTATAGTGATGCAGTTAGGTTTTGAGAATTTGATGCTTGAATTTTCCACAGTTACTTTAATATTATCAGATTGTTCAAGATTTTTGTTCAAAGTAAAAAAAGTGCCAGCCTTGTAAAGTTGGTGGTTGTTAATGGCTCTTTGCTTTGCTGCTTCAGCAGTGGCCAGCTTGTCTGATGACATCCTCACTCACCTCTTATTATTTGCAGTTGAATTGTGGGCCTGATACTTTCCTGCTGTCTAAGGGCTTAGGTGGTCAAGTGATGTACATAAACTGCTTTTCAGCTTTCTCAAGAAGGACTCGCAAATGAAAGATTAATTGTAATATTAATTTTCCTAAAAAGGAAAGCAATATTTTTAGATATTTGACCTCTTGTAAGTTAACAGAGAGACAGAGTGAAAATATATTTCCAGTGAGGGTGAAATTATCTGTAGAAAAGTGCTGGTTTAAACTCCAGTACCTTGAATGTGTAAATAAAAAGTACTCATACAAATTCTTTTCTCACCTCTGACTCTTGAAGATTTTGTTATTGTTTGCTTAGAGCACACATACTTTATATCGTATCTTTGGAAGACTTTCAGGATGGTGTGTGGTGTTCTAATGTACTGTTAGTGACTGTTAGTGGAGAGCAGCTAGGGTGTCCCCTGTCACAGAGAAATGACTTTGGAGCATCTTGCATCTTTCAGTAACAAGTCATGTAGTTTAAACAAGCTGAACTAGTTTCGATTTTCCCCTTCAGTTCTAGGATTTCCCTTCAGTTTGTTGTTGTGCTGGTGAAGACACATCTTGCAGATAATTGCATCATCTGACACATGGAAGAGTGTCAGTGGCCTAGAAAAAGAGCTCTGCCACTTTTCAGTTTATGTATAAATACACACACAGAGTGGGCGAGCACTGAGCTCAGTCATAATTCTTTCCCTCTCAAGTCTTCCATCCCAGTTTGAATTCATTGTGGCTGGGGATAATTCAGCAAACTCTTTTATTAATCAGTTACTAGATATAAAAGTAACTTCAGATCCTTTACTCTGTTCTGTTGTTCAACAGTCCATGCAAGTGAATGAATGGTGCTCAGTGCTGAGATCGCTGCAGTGTGCAATGGAAGTTACTGAGCTTTCTGTCCTTTCTTTATTGCCAGCATCACCAAAGAGAGCATTGTGGACATAGAGGGCGTTGTGAGGAAAGCACATCAGAAAATCGGAGGTTGTACTCAGCAAGATGTTGAGCTTCATGTTCAAAGGGTAAATTTTTGAGCAAATGGAGCACTGGTTAATTGTTTGATAGATAATCTGTTGGAACTGCCTGTCCATCTACATACATAAACTTTTTCAGTAAGGAATCCCCTGCCAGAGAAATAAACTCCTTTAAGCTACACGTTTCAGTATTTCGTATGTAAAAATTAAACTCTTCTGGTTTTAAAATAGTTGGAGTTTCCCTGTTTTTATCTGCCATTTGAATTACAGTGTCAAGTAAAATAAAGTATCTCACTAGAACAATTTGGCTAGGAAAGCTTGTAATTCTAGTTTTTGATTCTTAACTGCAGTAGACACTGGAATAAAAAGTCTGCTTCTTTTTAAGTGCAAGCCAGGAGTTTCTTCTTTATCAGAGTTACAATCTTCCCCTTAGTACAATGGACTGGAATACATAATTCTCACAGAAATAAACTTTCAGTAGCTTAACAGTGTGGAAACTTTTGAAATCTAAAGTTCCTGGAACTTGTGCTGTAGGGCTGGAGGAAGTGTAACTTTATAATTTGTTTAAATAGAAAGCATACTTAAACCTTTATGTAATATCCTTTTCTTCTAAGGGTTTTTAACTAAACTGTATGCCTGTATGTGTACAATACAGCTGAAACCCAGTCACCTCAGGAGTAGAGCACAATGGCTATTATAGCAGTGAGGTAAATCTTAGCTAACAGCATTGGGGAAAATCTGCAGATTTTGAAGAAACATGTTTTAATATGTGTGCAGATTATCCTGCGCTTGATTTTTCTGAAAGAACGTCAAATTCACTGCTCCTCCAGGAGCAATACTAGACCATAAGGCACAGCAAGGTGGTTTTCGTTCTCTGATTGTATTTTAGTTATCTCATAAATTCTTGAATCTGAAATAGCTCTGTCAGCTATATTCAGATGATAAACAAATGATACATTAACAAGGAGAAGAACAGGATGATCTTGATGGAATCAGAACTTAAAACTCAGTGAAATATGGTATATTCAGAGCTGGCATTCATGCCAAAAGGCTTGTCCCTCAGGCTGTATGAACTTGCTCAATTTGGTGCTTCCCAGAAGGAAAAAAGATACTTCAAATCTTTCAAGGGGAAAGCAAAAACTAAGCACTTCAGTACTGTCATGAGAATGCACAGTGTATCACAAGTACTGGAATAAAATCACAGCCTTAGAGCAAGCAGGCTATGCAAACTCTGTTTCAAGTCTCTGCTAGAAATACCCTTTTGTAAATCACACCTCCTTTTGAGCAGAGGCTCATGCTATTTCTGTTCTCTCTCAATTTCAGATCTATGTGATCAGTTCAGCTGAACCCCGACTGCCCTTACAGCTGGATGATGCTGTTCGACCAGAAGTGGAAGGAGAGGAGGTGAAAACTTCGCATCCTCAAATGCTTTTTATTGTCTTTGTAGCTGAACAAAAGCATGAAAGCCAAGCAACTTCCTTAATGCGGTGATTCTGGGGGTTTGTTAGGTTTGCATTTTACTTCCTTTGTGCTATCCAGAACTGTGTTCAACATCTCTATGGCTTTGATGTCTGCTGAACTGCAGTAGGAGGTCAAAACCAGAAGGTTTCCAATCTTGTGTGTGTGTCTGCTGCATCCTCATAGCTGGGTTCTGCCTGTGACCTATGGGAGAAGTTGCACCTTAAACTTTGCTATGCTGCCACTTTGCTGTATGATCTTTCTAGAATGATCTAGAAGTTCTGCTGAATATAAAAATAGCCCTTTGCTTTTAGCCAGAAGATGTTTTTGTCCACTGATTTTCTGTTGTTGAAGTTGTGAGTTTGTAGATTTTTTGGATGTGTGTGTATTCACTGTGTGCTTTTGCGCAACTGTTTAGGATGGAAGAGCTACTGTAAACCAAGATACAAGACTGGACAACAGAATCATTGATCTGAGGGTAAGGAACATGCAGCACTGCAGGCTTGCCTGCAAGTGTTTATTTTCCATATTTCTAGTCCACAAAGCAATAAAAGTCCTGGATTTGATGGAATTGTATTGTTGGCCAGAAGAAACATAAACGATGTCGTTTTGTAAAAGCATGGGATTTTTGAATCCTAAATGTTTGCCTTTACTGACATTAATTAAAGAATATACATTGGTAGTTCAAAGGCAAACATTGATGATTTGATGTGGCTGTGTACATCTGTGCTTTTGAGCTGCCAAAGTCAAAGGTGACTGAATAGGGACAATTTAGAAACAACATTTTTTTCTCAGATATAGTTTTGTTATCCAAAATCTGTAAAGAGCTCGGTTTTGAAGAATACGATGGAAGTTCCGGGATTTAACGGGCAGTTGAGGTTCTGTAATGCATGCCTTGCCAGGGACATTGTACCATGCTACAGCACCAATCTTACTCTCTTTGCTTCTTTCACAGCATTAATGTATTTTCCCTTTTTTTCCCTGAAACACCTTTCTTTATCCAGGTCATGAAGACCCAACCTTCTGTGAATTCATAGACCTCCCAAATATTTACCATTTCTGATGAGCAGCAAAATATTCTCTACTAAATTACTTGTAGAACTTTGATTCTTTTTTAATGAAACAGCAGCTAGCACTTAAGTGTGTAACTAACTAAGCATTACTGACTTGAGGCATCCTGGCCTTTTCCTAGGCTTTTGAGCCCTTTTAGGCTCTCCACAATAAAATTTTAATCAACACTGAATGAAGACTGTGCATAGCTTTTTTTTTTTTTTTTTTTGATGCCTGGTACTACCTTCAGAGTTCTTGATAATGGCAGTTTCTCAGTAAATCAATCTTTTGGACCTGAGAAATTACACAAAAAAAGTATTTTATTGGAAAATTAGGAAAAGTTCTGGCACTGAATTGCAGCTTTTTAACATCTGATCTCCTTATTTCAACAACTAAAACTACTTGTGTCAACTGTTTTACTTGTACCAAATTGCTTTTCACTTGACCTTATGTACAATACTGAGTAACTTCAGTCTGTGGTTACTTTTCAGGGTACTCAGTATCTCATCATATTGGTCTCTTAATCTGTCTTAAATTAAGCCTTTAATGAAAAGAATTCTATACTAATGATTGAAAGTGAAAATCATTTGAAGGATCATCAGCTTATGGTAGTGCTAAGGCAGTGTACTGAATTGAAGGGGACAAATCTGGGATGCTTGTACTGCAGGCTTTACTTGAACATCTGGTGATGTGTAAAAATAACCAACAGCACTCCAGAAAAAAACTAAGAAAATCCATTATATTGAAGAACCACCTGTATAATAAACTGAAAGGAGCCATGAGACTCAAAGAGAACAAAGAAATTATACAAAGGGAAATAACATTTAAAAATTCTGGGTGAAAATGGCTTGGATGTATCCTTGGCTGTAATGATGCACTTGAGGGCATCTGCAGAGCAAAGCCTAGGAAGGTAAATAGTAATGGAAAAAGAAGGAAGACTTATGCCAGAATAAACACAAGAGGTGGAATGGAAAGGACTGGATGTTCTTCTGCCCCTGTACACATCCAGTAGTTCAGCATGACCCTCCCAATACTTCTGAAATGTCTGTGTCAGTACAGTAGTAGGGCATTAGTTGTCACTATTCTGCTTGGAGGGTGCAGCTGCTGACCTAAGTGGATGTTGCTGTAACCTCTTCTGTGTCCCAACCACTGTTGGGACACCCTTTCTTCAGCAATGTCTGGCACCTTGTTTTGAGCTCTGAACCTTAACTCTATGTTAAGAAGCTCTTTTTCTCCTTAGCTACAGCAGCTGCTGCAGTGTGATGCTAAGCAGATGTTTCATGCTGAACAGGAATTCAGGTTAGCTTTTTACACAATTGGTAGGAGGATGAAATGTCAGATCTCAGTACCGCAGTTTCTGCGTCTCATCCTCTGCATACACCTGTGGCTGGGTGTGGTCTGGCCACAGCTTGCCCATGATTGAGCTTGGGTGTCTGTCTTGCCTTCCTTCCCTGCTCAGGAAAAATTTCTGTCTCAGAATGTGTCACATTTCTGTGTATCTTTTCTGTTACACCTTTCATTATGTGTTTCAGAACAAAAGCAGATTCTACATGTGTTATTTTAATATTTTTTTAAGGGAGTGCTGAATAAGCAGAAAATAATGAAGAAAGGGGAGATTTCAGAGAAATTTCTTGTGAGAACACATGCATATGTATATATTTGTACATTCTAAGCACTGTTATTAGCCACTGTTAGTGGAATCATGAGAGTAGGAATACAAATAAACCCAGAAAGTAGTAATTGATTGTCAGTGATTTAATTCCATAGATTGGAACTACTGGAGTACAAATGGGGCTTCAAAGAGTCTTTAGTGTTTCAAATGCAGTGTATAAGTAGGCATGTCCTAAGGAGGATTGCAAACATGATGTGTTATCTGAACCCTTGTTCCCACAGCTGTTCCTTCTAGGAAAACCATATCAGGGGTAACAGAGAAAAATGTTAACAGAATAGTTCTAACAGAGATACTGTGATGATCAGTTCCTACAAGTGTGGGAGGAAGTCCAGCCACAGATAAATGTATAATCTAGTTCTGGTTTCCTCAGTGCCCCAGTTTTTTAAGGAAGAAGGAGGTCACTGAACGTCAAAAATAAGGACACTTATTTTGAGAAAGGTTTACCAAACTAAATGCATAGATCTTGGTTAGGCTCAGACTAAAAAAAGTCATTTGTATGCAACTAAAATTATTTTATCCATGTAAACACAGTATTTAAAGTAGTTAAGTAATTAGCTAATTTTAAAGAGTGATTAATGTAGGAGATTAATTAATTGAATAGGGCCAAGTCATGATAAAGCAGAGCTGGGAAACTCAGTTATTACATGAATGAAAAAAACTGGATTTCCAAAAATAGCATCACTCCATCCAGCTATGATGTTATACCAAGGAAGGTTTGATTATGATGCAATACAAGAAGTGCAGTTAATAATAAGGAAATTACATTAGTGGAGATGAAAGATGCAAAGTATGTTGCAAAGATTGCAAGACTTCCACTCTTGTGTACATGTGGAAATAGACTGAGTATTGCAGTGAATTATTAACAATCTTGCATTTTGTTTGCTGACAGAGATCTCTTCGAAGTGTCTGGTAGTTCAGTTATTTTAAGGTTGGGGATGGGAAGTACTTAAATGTCAAGATGCCAGGCTACTGCTGTGGTTGTTATTGTGAGGTATGGAGAGAAAGTGGTGATTATTCAGGGCTAAGGGGTTTTGAAAATAATTTCCAAAGAATTATTACTGGAGAAGAATGAACCTGTTCCTGGTGGGTTAACTCATAAAATACAGATCACACCTTTGGAGTAGAAAAGTTAGTTTCTTTCACATAACCACAGGTGACTGTGAGGAAACCACTGTTGACTTAAATATCTGTTTTTCACAATGGCTTAATGAAAGTCAAACCACTTGATCATAGAGATGTTTGATTTACCATTCACTTACCAGAACAGTTAAAAAGGGCAAAGTAGAGTACTGACTGTGTTTTTAAATGTTTACTTTTCTGCTGTTCTTAAGTTTCACTGAAGTACTTGATGATGTGTAGACTTCCCATGTCTGTAAGAAGACCTGCAGAAATGAGATTTCATTAAATTCTGTGGTACATGAAAAGTAATGAAGAAAAGACCAGTGAAAAGCTGATTCTTGTAGTTTGCTTCTTAAAATTACCAGTTCAGGTTCATCCAATTTTACATTGTTTAAAAAAAAAATGAAGAAAAGTCCAATGAAAGAAACACTAATTCTTGGGTTTTACATGTCAGTTTGCCTTTGAAAAAGTCTGAAGAACGAAACAATTCAGATTCACCCAGGTTTGGACCTGACTGATGTCCTTGCTCTGGTTTATTTTTTGTGTTCAGCAGGACTTTTATCTCAACAGTATCTGTCCAAATGTGACTTGAATTATATGCTTTTTGCAGTCCTGTTGCTACAATTGTGGCTACTAATGCCCAGCTCATTGAGACCAAAGCAAAGACTTTTTAGGGTCAGTATTATCCTGTCCATACTGCTCAGGGTAGAGCATTAACATTAAACTGTGTCTTTTGTAGTTTATGGATGACAGACTGTGTTATGTGGTAATCCAGCTGTACACTGATCTTAACGCACTTTTTTCCAAATACTCGATTATTTCAAGCTTGATTTCATTGTGTTGGATTCAGTTTCCTCATTGTAAAAGCTGTGTTTTTCCTGACTGAATCCAAGCTGTAATGAACAAGCAAATGTTCAGTTTATTTTCCTGTGGGCAGTGATTTGGCAGTGTGTTCATACACAGTCCCAGTCATTTAGACTACAAACTCCATGTTCATATATTCTTATACTATAATACTGAAATTTGAATAAAAGTAGACTTCAGTCACCTTAGTGTTAAAAAAGTTATTTCAGATAAATTCTGTTTCTTAACAAAACCTTAGTTTGTTATATATATAGTGGAGGAATTGCAAAATTAGTTACATGACTTAAAATAACGTATATTACTTAAAAGAGTACAGATTATATTATTTAGCCAACTACGTATTTAATGTTCCTGATGGAAGACAGGTAGCTACAGCAGGCAAACAGAAAAGCAAAAATAAGGGGAGAGCAGAACAAATTCTGCAGCTGATGTGAGAGTAAAAAGAAAGTTCACAAGTTCTCCTGTCTGTGCGTTGGTCTCACCTCACTGAGATATGATCACATTGGTGTGAACTGCCCTCAGTTCCACTGAAAAACATTTGGCAGCACACATGGCTGTTGTTCTGACACTGCAGCTTGTGCCAAACAAAAAGTGATAATTATTTTTATAATCTCACAATGCTCAGTTTTGTCATTAGTATCTTCCTTCATGGCAGCTGAATAATAAACACACAGGTGAAATTAGACTGAGGATATGACTGAAACTCATACTTCAGTATTGTTCCCTAAACTTTTCTTCTGCTGTCTGTAACAAAGGTGATTATTGAAAATAATGCATTTTTCTGCAAAATTAACTTTGAAAACTGAGTTAAAACATTAACATTGTTAACTGCAACAGCATTTGTGTCATAAATTTGTTTCTGTTTCTGATTAATTCTTGAAACAGTATTGACTGTCTTTGCCAAAGTCTCAGATAAGATAGTTTGTCAATATGTATGTGGAAGGGTTCCTACTGGAGTAAACACTACACAAATAGAATGCCATGGCAAAATCTTATTTTAAGACAAAGGTAAAAAGCAATTAATTTTGACAGCAGTCTCTTTAGCTTGCTGTATTGTACCTAAGTATGGAAGCTCATATTGTGACTATGTTACTTACCATTGTAAAAACGTTGCTATATGTACCAGCCTCTCAGTTACTGAATTATTTTCTTCGAATGAATTTGTTCTCTTTGTGTTCTGAACGTCACACCAGTGCAAAGCACGTTATTAAATCTGAAAAGTTCTTTCTCCATTTTTAAAATCCTGGAAATTGTAGTGGCGCATAAAACTTTTGAGGTCATTGATTTGACTCCAGTGCAAATTGTTGGATGCTGTTCTTTATGAGCTTATCTCAGATGTCTCGTGGGTGTGTTTAATTCTTACAAGAAGGCTGCAGTATCACAAATTCCCAACAGTTATCCATGTTGTCAGTCTCTGAGTGAATGGACACTGAAACGCGGCCACCTTTGCTGGAAGAAGAGTGGTCTTGTCAGATCTAATTTAAAGTATGGAGAATTGCTGCTTGGTTTTGGTCTGCAGTTAAATAAAAGCTTCAGTGTCCAGTTCTGTGAATTTGGCTGCTTTCACAAATGCTGTTTCTAAGCATAACTTATCGTTATAGATAGCTCAGCTTGTCCTTGCCCTGCAATCTGACAAAGGACTGGAGCTGTTACTGCCTGACAAACCTTTGCTACTGAAGAGCTGCGTTAGATATTGACTGACTGTGTTTCTGTGCACAGTTTTAGGTCAGACCATGTAATTGCTTTCAGACTGGGTTTAGCAACTGGTTTTCTTTTTCCTGGGGCTGTTTGGCTCACTACTGCATTCTCACTTGCTCTGGCATGAAACTGCTGTTGGTTCACACCAAGGGTAGAAGATATTTTATAGCCATATATTGTTTCTATCCTGATTTATGTTGATGTTACACTTCTCTCTTAGCAATTTTAGATGTGTCTAGTTCATCAAAAACTTTGTTGAGAAACTTAAATGTGACTTAAGGTTGTCAACTTTTTCACCTTTCAAGTAGGAGATAGTTAAGAAGAAAAAATCCCTTTGAATCATCCTGGTACTTGGATGTACTGCCAAATTATGCCCTTAACTCAGGCAGAGTCTGATTGTGGCAGATGTCTGTTTGTGGGCGACCAATGTGAAAAAGGTGAAAAACTTTGAGGGTACTTTTGTAACTTGCTCAAAACCTCATTTGCTTCATTTTGAACATTTGGAATAGCATCTGTGGTCTGTCAGACATGTGGTTTATCAGACAGTGAGAGCTGCTATTATTTACTAGTCTCAACCACTTACCCACCTGAAATATTTCATTGGTCAGCTAAAACAGCAAATAACTCCAAACAGCTACAGATCTCCAGTATTATTGCAGTTTTCACTTTGGGTTTATTGGTAAAGGGATGTCTTTATCTTGCAGAGATGATGGATGTAGCTTTATTTCAGTGTTTCTACTGCCTGTCTGTCTAAATTTGGCTGCTCATATAATTTGTTTTGGTTGGAGGTTTTTTGTTTCGTGGTTTGGTAGAGGAGTCTGAAAAATCCCACAAGACCTTTCTTACCCTAACTGAAGAGCTGGGTGCTGTTCAGAAAGGGAAGTAAACAGTGCTGTGACGCAGGTTGTCGTAAAGAACCGTTCTCTTGCTCGTATGCAGGAACTCGTTGGTCTTTTTGTACCCTTTTAGGTTGCTCACTGTCACATTTGAGGTGCTGAAAGCACAAAATCAGATACGGCTTCAGTGCTGATACCTCACAGTCTTTGCTGCAGTCACTAAGGTGGTTGTTTCATTCTTTAGGCCAAAAGTGTTCCAGGAATGTTTAGTGTAGGTATTTGCTAACTGAGATGAGCAGCTCAATTGTGTCATGTGCATAAACAAAATTTTCAATTCAGTTAAATCTACTTCTGTTTTCAGCTAAATTTACTTCTAAAGTAAGGTGAAAAAAAGACAGAACTGCAGTTCATATCTACAGGTGTTACGTGGGCTGCTTAAATGTTGGAAGTGTAGACCTTGGGGTTTGGATGTTTTTGTGGCAATGTTATACATGGTTAACATGTGGCTGTGTTTTTACATGAAAAAACATTCTATTTGGTAGCCTTTCACAGACAGACATTTCTACCTTATGTAAGTTATTAATGGCTTTGCTTTTATCATGCACTGTGTATCCTGCAGCTGTTCTAGTTCAGTGTGCTGAAAGCTTTTTAATAGATTTAGTGCTTTTATTCAATTTCTTCTGATAAAACCTTTATTTGCAGGAGCACATCTCGTAAATCAGGTATTTTTTTTTTAATGTAGAATTTGCCATAGTGCCTCGTTTATAACTAAATATGCTATAAATTGAAATTAATAATTTCTTTGGTTTCCTTTCCTGTTTCCTTCTGTGTAACAGACAATTATGGATATGCACTTCTCACTTTTTAGGCAGATACAATAATCATGTATTCCTGAGGGAAGGAATTCAGTTGTCCAGAAGAAGTAATGGAGTCAGGAAAAACTAACATAGGATTCATTATTTTATCTTCTTCTTGTAGACCTCCACTAGTCAGGCAATCTTCTGCCTTCAGTCTGGTATTTGTCAGCTTTTCCGAGAAACTCTCATTCGCAAGGGATTTGTGGAAATTCAGACTCCCAAAATCATTTCAGGTACTGTATATGTGATCCAGCAGCTACAGTTGTGCTTCTTTTATAGTTTCTCAGTGTACTTGTATGACAAAAACTCAGTAAGTCTTTATTTAAAAAACATGTATTTTCTTTCTAGCTTAGATACATTGTAGAAAAGTTGCAGGTGTCAGAGTTGGTCTTTACTTTTCCCCTGACGTAGGCTATTAAAAAAATCACAAGACAAATTATATATACACACTTGATTTATGTAGTTCGCAATGCATATGAATGTCTAATTCTGATCATATGCATTATTCTTCAAATCAGTGTTCTTTGTGTTGAGCACTGCCTGTTCCATTCTCAGTATTAAAAAAAATCAGTCTAATTTAGATTAAAAGCCGATTCCATTATAAAGATGTTGCAACAAACATATGGTGTAAAATATAATGCCTTTTTATGGCACAATTTGTCACTTCTTTAGCCATGAGAATGTGGCAGAATAGAAGGTGGTAGACCTTTTTCTTTTTGGAAATATGGAATAACAGCTTCAGTGTTAAAGTCTGAAATGTAGACTTTGTTTCTATTTCTTTCTGTTTCTATTTCTTCTGATTTGCTGTATTGTTTTCAAAAGTCCAGTTGCTTGATGTACTGATGGAAGTTTTTCTTCCATCTTGTTTGTGCTCTTTGAGGTTTTGTTGATGCCACTAAGATACATTGCATTTAAAATCAGAGCAGAACATTTGTGTGTAACACATTATGTGTTGTTACATTATGTGTTACATTACTGTGTTATTGTATGTACATTCAGTTTTTAAAAGTTACCTGTGTTAGGCCACTGCACCTCTCACGTCACACGCTGGGAATTGGCAAGGTGAAGTGGTGCAGTTTTGGTAGGTGTAAGGGAAAGGCTTGTGATCCTTGTTCCTGCCTATGAAAATTGCCTCAAACTGAGAAAAAGCTTTGTAGCTTTGGCTCATGCCCTTTGGTAAATCTGGGATTGGCTGTGAGAGAGATTTCTGCTTTCAGTTAGAGAGGATGGTCCTGGCAAAACAGGATATGCGCTTTGATCTGAGGTTCTGCAGTGAACCCACGGCAACCTGAGCCACTGGCAGTGATTGACAGAAATGTGGGGCTCCAGGTAGATGTGTTAGTATAGATATGTATTCTGCTGTTCTCACTCTAAGGTGAAGGTCAGCTCTAACAGTAACATTTTAAACTACCCCAGCTAAATTTGCAGATTTTCAAGAAAAGGTGTGACAGTCCTGAGCTGTAAAATTTACCTTGGCATGAATGGATGGATGCAAAAATTTTTCCTCTAATACACTTTGAAGAAAAATCTCATTCTGATCTTTAAATGTAAGACAAATAATCTGTCATTTTACCTCTGATTTTTTACATTTTTATTTTAATAACCACTTAATTTTATTTCAATAATTCCTTATAAAAGCACTTGCTTTCTAGCTGCCAGTGAAGGAGGAGCCAATGTGTTTACTGTATCCTACTTCAAAACCAGTGCCTACCTGGCTCAGTCCCCACAGCTGTACAAGCAGATGTGTATATGTGCTGACTTTGAAAAGGTTTTCTGCGTTGGGCCAGGTAAGAAAAGCTTTGCATTATACAGTGTGTGAAGTGTGCCCTAGTGGCTTTTAGCAGCTGTGGTACAAGTGAGATAACACACACACACACACACACACACACTAAAGCTTTGAAACGTTTCATTTGGTGTAGTTTCACTTGACAAACCAAATTTCAGTTGAGGCGACTGCTGACAGTAAAGTTGACAGAGAAGTTGCTGTACATGTACCAAACAACGTTACTTAGAACAAGCTTACTTTTACCTGTCAGTAAACAATAAAAAATTAATAATTTCCAGTCTCATGCTCTCTTTCTCAAAAGCTGATTCAAACATAGCCTCTTAAGGTGGCAATACAATAGTTTTCTTCAAAGACCTCAAGTTGTTTAAAGATACCTAATCCCTAAATGCTGAAAACAAGTCAATAACAGTGTATAACCAAAAAAAAAACCCCGCAAACAAATTCCAAGTAATTCAGAAGGTCTTAAATTTCTTGTTAATCACTAACAGATGAGTCATGGTTTATGGGAAGATGTGTTTATATTAGACTCATGTACCCATCCCAGAAGACACACACGTGTACAAGTCCACTTCCTCTGAAAAAGGCAGTTTTCAAATCTGAAAGTTCTTGTGTGCTTGAAAGCTTGTCTGTTTTTTCCCCTTGCGACTTAGTCTAACCAGAGATCCTGCCTCTCTGTGGATTGTGTCTGTCTTGTATCCTTTGAGCACCACAGCTGCAGTAGTGCTGTCACTGTTAAAAATGATGCCCTGAGGCTGCTAGTTATATTTGTGTCTTTCAGTGAGAGTTTTCATGTCTGTCTAATACTAATGACGATTGTTATTTTTCCAACTAGAGTGATGATTTCAGGTCAGTTAGAAATTCTGTTGTTTAATTTTACAGTATTTAGAGCTGAGGACTCCAATACCCACAGACACCTGACTGAGTTTGTTGGTCTGGATATTGAAATGGCTTTTAATTATCACTATCATGAAGTGGTAGATGAGATTGCAGATACCCTGGTGCAGATATTCAAGGGGCTTCAGGAAAGGTAAAAACATTTCCTTCTTTCAATGAGCAACTTTGTTTGTTTGACATCTCTTGAACTGTGGAATGAAGTAGGCAAGCCTTTTATCCTCAGTTTGTTAGATAATCATTGGTAATCTAATTTACAACACAACTTTGAAACATATTTTCACTTTGCTCTTAGCTATTTCTTTGTGCCTGACTTCTAAAGTTCACTCAAGCCATAGGCCAGTAAACTACTTTTAGCATCTCCTGGAGTATGCTGGCTTGTGCCAAGAAACTTGCTGTCTGCTCTTGAAAGGACTTCCTAAGAGAAAAAAATCCATCCTTAATTAATGTCCTTTTTGTGCCACTACTGGTAAATGGTTCTATTTCAAAAGTTATTTTAATATTTACTATATAAGAAAGTTTTCTTAAATAAAAAAAGATTGTACCAGCCTGCATTTCTTCCTTGATAACAACAAGGATTATTTTCCATTATTCACAGTCTAACTCATTAAAAAACCAGGCTAGAAGTTTAGGAAGTGGTTTCCATTTGCTTAGAAATTATACTTTTGCCAGCAGAAATGCAAATCTTTGTCTGTCCAGAAGGAAATTTCTTGTATGTATTTGGATATTACTCCAACTTTTAATTCAAAAAAGAACCTAGGTAAATACTGCAAATCAAAGGGGTGATTTCAGTGTCTTTACTGTGAAAATTCGACCTAGACGATTACTTCTTACAAAAGGGATTTAACAGAAGTAGTAGTAAAATATTAATGTCAGTGAAGTAGGTGCATTAACTTTGTTGGAACAATTCATTACAGAATTTCTCCAGAAGTGGTTTTAATACAGTTTTTATGTTGCAAGAGGGACCTCTTGTGGCAAAATCACAAAATCATTATTACATGCAAGTTCTTGACTGTTGTGTATTTGGCTTCTGTTCTTGTTTCTTTGTCTGTAGATTCCAAACTGAAATTCAGACGGTGAGCAAACAGTTCCCTTGTGAGCCATTTAAGTTTTTGGAGCCAACTCTGAGGCTGGAATACCGTGAAGGTGTGGCCATGCTTCGAGAGGCTGGTGTGGAGATGGGTGATGAAGAGGATCTCAGGTACTTGGCAGGACATAACTGTGTCAGTCTTGGGAAAGTGGTAGTGAAGTGTCAGTTTTGTACTGAGCACCTGACAGCCCTCAATAAGGACCCACAGCTTTTAGAGGAATAAATAGCAGTTTTGTCCAGATCTCTTGACAAGTAAATGAAAGGATGTGAAAATAATCCTTTCTTTTAACGTAGACTCTGAAATATGACAGAAAATAACTCACAACAGAAAGTGAGAATGGAGGAAAAGAAGTGTTTGTTTGTCCAGCAATTGCAGTCCTTCATGTGATTACAACATGTCTTTGACTAGAGAGTAAAAGATAAATAATAAAAAGATTCTGCTGCCTTAAGGTTTTTCTTTTAACACCCTTCCATTTCTTCCTTCCACCTCTCCGGAAAATGATTAAACAATCTTGATGAATTCCCATTGATTTACTGAGAGATGGTTTAATTAGCAGTTTATATATAAACTTTACTAAAAACATTTAATTCATTAAAACAGTTCTGTTCTTTCCCATAGTATATCCAGCACCTTTAGGGTACTTATGTGTGATTTTAAGTTAAACCATCTGTGCATCGAATAAAGTTTCCATCATAAGAGTTTGATGGAGGAAAATCATTTTGTCAATGACTGTTCATGTGTTTCTCACTTATTGTGTCATGCACAAGATGTATGGCAATAGGAAATGGAGTACACAGTTCTTTAGTAATCACAATATGGTAACTAGGAAGAAGTTACATTGAGAGAATATTCTTAGGTACCAGTTAATTTAAGGAATTTCTAGGACCAATAAGAAATATTCAGAAACAAATAAATATACTTTATTTCTGCAATTTCTGTATGCACAACCCAAAACAGTCAGAAAGAAGTACTAGATTTTCTAAGGGTCAGGGTGCAGCAGCTCTGTAGTTTATAATCTTTTGGGCTTTGTGAAGTATATCACGAGTACAAGTTTAAATCACTTCATTTTAATGATGATAATCTTTTTCAGCACACCTAATGAAAAGCTCCTGGGACGCCTGGTAAAGGAAAAGGTAACAATTATTTTAGAGTAAATAAATTTGTCACTGAATCTTAAACCTGATATTGTAGATTCATAGGGTTGGTGTAAATACTTACATTTAAACAGTATCTCAGAACATGCAGAAATTGTGAAGAGTTGGTGATTACCATTTTTTAATTGACTGCATTCCCATTTTGGTGCTGTGTATTTCATCTACTGTCAGTTTTGTTTTTGTCATTAATAAGCAGTTTCAAACAATTTTCAATTTTTTATATTTATTTCTATCATACATTGTACTGAGGACACCTAACAGGCTAGTATGTTTCAAAGCCAATTCTTAGGAGACTTGAATAAACACCCAAAAAGACCAGAGTCTAGAAAAATCTATTGGAGAAGATGAGATCTTTGGGGGAGAAAAAAAAGTACCTGTTACAGCAACACGTTTTACTGCTCAGCATTTTTAAGTTTACACTAGAAAAAGTATTGAAAAAATGAGAAAGAATGTACCACTTTTATTGATAACTTAGACAATATTGTGGGAAGCTATTGGGAATTTTTTTTAAATTCTATTTCAAAGATTCACTGGTTCTGTCTTTTTCTTGTAATTTGTTTTTTATGTAATTTTCTCTTGTACTAACTGTTCTAAATTACTTACTCAGTACGACACAGACTTCTATATTCTTGACAAATATCCTCTTGCTGTGCGGCCTTTTTATACAATGCCAGACCCAGCCAACCCTGTAAGTAAAATTCCTTGTTGTTAATGGGGTTTTTTTTCTTTTTTTTTTTTTTTCTTTTAGTTTAAATTACTTCATGTAGGGATAACTTGATGATACAGATAAAATGTATTAATATGGCCAGAGATCACTTAGTTCCAGCCTTACTGTAATTAAAATTATGATAACAAGATAAGGTCAGGGTTACATGACTTGTCAAATGTTTTCAGTTACTCTTCACTGGTGAAAACAAATCAGAAAGAAATGAGCAAAAACTAGGAGAGCTTTATGAAGAGATCTCCATGGTCAAACACTGTTGCCATCACTGAAAAGTGGCAAAAGCATTCTTCCAGGGCAGCAGACATATTAGCAGAAATCAGGCTTTTTTTACAGCATTGGATATCAGAAAATTATGTTATTGAGAGGTAAATATTTACAAACTATGTAACTCTGGTAGAAGATAAACTCCTTTTCGTTGTTTCCAGAAAACCTCTAACTCATATGATATGTTTATGAGAGGGGAAGAAATCTTGTCTGGAGCTCAGAGAATTCATGACCCCCAGCTGCTGACAGAGCGAGCCAAGCATCATGGCATTGGTAACAAGGCAATTTAAAAGAACATAAGTCATTACTTGATTTTTGTCCTTTAGAGGAAGAATTTGGGGCAAAATTTGTTATATGAGTGGTAAAATCAGAGTTGTTTCATTCTTAATGTTAGAAATGTTAATTAACATGTTTAACCATCTAGAGTGGGGTATTAAGAAACTAGTGAGTCTTCCAGCAACATCTTGTTGAATAGTTTTTAATAAATATTAATAAAATTATATAACAAAACTGTTACAGTCATTAATTCTAGATAGCTCTGGACAATTTACATATTCAATGAGTAAAGCCCCACTGTTAGTTTGTAATTTCTTTGTTGTACATGTAGTCCTGAAGTTATTTGTCTGTTTGGCTTGGGGTTCATTAAGCAGGTGAAAAAACAATATTTTTCTTTTCTAGATTTGGAGAAAATAAAGGCTTATATTGACTCTTTCCGGTTTGGTGCACCTCCACACGCAGGTGGTGGAATAGGTAAGTATCTCTTTTTTGTTTAGCCTGAGCTTAACTTACACTGCTCAGTACCAAGCAGAGTTCAGTATAAAATTCTGAATAGTGACCTTATTAGGTAAATTTGTGGGGCTGTTTATCCTGGAGAATATAAGGAGAGAAGCTCAAATTTAAGGATCATCATAAAATAAATAGGCAAAATACTAATGGCACAGTCTGGCGAGTTTACAAAGAAGGTTATCCCAAGAAAAAGTGCCATCTCACTAGCCAGGCACATTACTTTCAAATTTGACCAATGAGGAAAATTTAATGAAGCAAGAAAATAGTGTATTATGTATGGATTTATCAAAGTCACCATCATACCAGCAGCCACTGGTCTCTGTGTATTTGATGAAGGTGTTTTGCAGTGAGGAGAAATAAGTGATTGCTTGTGCATCTGTTAGGGAGCATGCAACATTGGCAGGTAATCCAAAATAATTCAGGCCGGTCAGGACTGACACCAAGGAAGCTGAAGATGCATCTTTCCTTCAGAGTACATGGTCCTCATGGCAAAGTACCAGCCAAACAGGAGATGCCATGAGGATTAACACTGGGTTCAAACTGTTCAACTGTGTTGAAACCTTAACATAGGAGGTGTATGGAAAAACAAGTGTGCATCTGGGTTCCACCCACCATGGCTGGGGTGCTTAGAGCCCCAAGAATTAGAAGTGCCTATATCATGGGCTGTGCTCACACTGCTGTGTGAGGCTGGCCCCAGCTGGGAAGGACCTGCAGCTCCTTTGGGGCTTTGAACAAAGGCTGGCAGTGTTGATGGGCTGTTTTCATCTGCTCTAGGGCTGGAGAGAGTAACCATGCTGTACCTGGGGCTGCACAATGTCCGTCAGACCTCCATGTTCCCGAGGGATCCCAAACGCCTGACGCCCTGACAGGAGCTGCTCTGAGAGTTGGGAATGCTCTGCCCTGCAAATAGGACCTGACTGCAGGCATAGCCCCTGCTGCTGATGAACGTGTATTGATTGATTTGAGCATTATGATATGCAATTAAAAACAAAATTCTCCTTTATTAAGTGCCACAGTAATTTTTTTTATGCTTATTTGTTTATTTAAAGGAAAATATTTTAACAGATCAAGACTCTTTGTATTGGCAGCTGCACATTTTTAATGAAAATGGGATACTTTGGATTAGTATTTTAGTGTCACATTAAACTGTATCATTTTTCTAAACATTTTAATAAATTATGCAATAACCATTTTGCATTTTTAACTTATGTCAGCAAGATTGAATATTCTGAAGTACTGGCTCCAAGATAAAGTGACTGGATGCTTGCAATTTAAAAATCTGGAGAGACCAGAGAGCCAGTTGATAATTTACATGAGTGTCAGGTAAGAAAGCAGGTGGGAACATTCTTAACAAGAAATCTTCATAAGAAGTTGTTAAAATAGGTTGAAATAAAGCTCTCAAAGTAAATTAGATACAGATTTGTCTGGTTTTTTGCTTTGTATCCTCACAAGATAATGAATCAATAAGGTTTTTTTGGTTTGTTTTTTTTACAGATGTAATAGCTGTCTAAAGTTTAAATTTATTTTCTATCTTCTCTGCATTTTTGTGAAAGTTGTATGAAAGCCACAGGCCTGAGAGGCTATTATTTGAGAATGATTGCAAATTTACACATGCTCATGGAACACACAAGGGATATATAATATTCTCAGAAAAGAAATGGATAGTGGGTTTGAGAGCAGGTCATGTGTTTTCCTGCCTGACCCAGCCTATGAGATAACAAACAGAACAAGGATTTCATGCATCTTTTACCAATGGAAAAAACCTCAAATTATGTAAGCCAACCTATTTCAGGGTGTTTTTTTATTTATAAATGCTGTGAACAGCCCAACTTTGTACACTTAGAAAAATTGAGTGTTTCTGTAAGCAGAGTGCTTCTGAAATTCTTTCTAGACATACTTTTTCTTTGATTATTCACTTACATGAACTCCTCAGTCTGGAGTAGTGCACAAAGCTGCCACTCATTGTCCTCCTCCTCCCAAGCCAGAGAATGTTCCCTGCATTTGGAGAGGTGCCAGCATATCTGAAACTTCCTTTTGTAGGCTGCATCTGAGAGTTGGTTTTCAAATTTGAAACATTTTTTAAGCGTTGCTGCCAAAGAGCAAAGGATTAAATTCCTGACTTGGGTACTGCAATAGTTACTCTAATATTCATACATATTTGTAATTCCTGACTTGTTTTTTGTTTAACATTTTACATGATCAGGTTTTCAGTAGGAGGTATGGTGTGGATGGTCTGTGTTACCTTGATTTTTAAATGTCAGGGAAGTTACATATTGGTTATGCTACAGAAAGGTCAGTGAGGCTGTGTATAAATTGTGTAGAGTTTTACAAAAGGGCAAATCATCTTTGCAGCTGCCGTGGAACAAGACTTAATTTTAATGTCTTATGACAAGAGTTCTCCATTAGAAAACAATCATACTAAAGGTCAGTCAGGTAAAGTACTGGAAATGTAGAAGTTAAACTTTGTTTAGAAGTCACACAATTCAAGGAATAATACTTAGCAGCTTTGCTTATGAGTCAATTGTAATTAATTTACTATGGAATCTTCCCCAAATTATTAACTTGAAAATCTTACACTGTAGCCGGCTGTAGTTTGCAAAGCTAAGTGGATTATAAACACACCTCCTTGTCACAGACTTATTACTGATGGATCCAAGTTTCAAAACAGTTGTTTATTTAGGTAAGCTAACTGGAATGAATTTGATTTAATTACCTTTGTTCATACAGAACTGGTAATATATTCCACTTTGGATGTGCATTCTTCTAACCAAGAGCAAAATTACTGACTTAAATTTCCTGTCCACAAAAGAAATATCCTGGGTGCTGTTTCTTTTTCTAGATCTGACAGCAAGTTTTGTTCATACATGCCTTTAATAACTGTGCTTATACCAATTCTGTTAGGAGTTATTCAAAATCATGCTCTAGCTTGATTTATTCACAGTAACTGCAGAAGAACAAGAATTAGGATGGAGGCCCCGATTCCTTTGTATGCTTTCATAAATGCAGCCTTTCTTAGCTAAGAGAAAATAATTATGATCATAAATCAAAATGCAAAATGCATTTGTCCTGAGTGTCATCTTAACAGGACACTTTAGTGGGAGCTGCACAGTGTTAGAACTTAGTTTGAAACACTGCAAATAATGAAGGTCTAGAAGACCTTTGGAGTCTTTTGATAGGTAGTAAGTCTGCTGTAATAGTTCTGGAAAAGTAAAACCTGTACTGTCCTTTATTTCCAGTAACTTGCAGGAAGTTTACCAGTTTACAAGGAGTCCACATTGGTGCTTTCTCTTCACCAGGTAAAATGGTTTTGGTTTTGTTTTCTCTCATTATATACAGATGGTAATTACAGTAGTGCAATTTTTTAAACTAAGAAACTATAAAGCACATTTTTTAGAATATCCAGGGAGTGTGTCTGCTCAGAACAAACACAAAGCTTCAGTTTGCTTCTGAAGTTTATCTGCACCATTTTCCTGTGAAAACCCATCTGTGTTCGCTGAGCTGTTTGAATCTGCCCAGTGGGAAAGAGGACTCAGGCTGTTCTTTTGGCAGCCAAGTGCAGGCCTGACTCCCCATGGCTGCCCACACCTGCTGGGATAATCCTGGTGCACAGCACCTCACAGCTGCTTGCTCCCTGCCCAGTGGGCCCAGGGCAGGAGGAAGGGAAGAGTAAAAGTAGGAAAACTTTGTGCTTTTACCTAGTGCCTGTCAATTCTGGGCATATTGGACACCACTCCGTGTGAAAGCAAGGGATGGAGGAGAGTGCCTTGACAATACCCATTGTGGAGCACCATATGGCTGCCTTCATACTGGGGTTCCAGAAACCTACTGAAACAGATTTCAATTATTTACTGTTTCTTCTTTGGGTAATACTAGCTTCTTTTTTGAGAGAGAGAAATCATCTAGGATGGATTACTTCTTTTAAAACAAGCCTCACAACCAATTTGTGCACATTTTTCCTAATACGATCTCACAAAAAATGGAATTTACTCACCACAAGTGTTTTAAAAATTACCAAGTTAGTTCTACAATTCTCTTGTTTTCTTACCATCTTGCAGTTAAATCTCTGTTCACTATATGGCAAGTGCACCATAACATGAACAAACACTGCTGCAGGAGGCTGCTGGCACTTCTGAAAGTGTTTCAAAACTGAAAAAGAGCCCTTAGCTACTTAATTACAGCAAAATTCCCAATTTAGGGCAGAGATTAATGACTTTGCAGGTGGCAGAGCAGTTCTAAGCAATTTTTCATAGATGTTGAAGCGGTTCCTGCTGGCAGGCGCTGTGTGCCAGCAGCTGCCATTCGGGAATGGCTGTGAGCCATGGCACCGCTTGGCAAATGTTGCCTTCAACCGTCCTGCAATGGTGCCAATCAGGAGCCAAGTGTCCAGACGGTAACCTGACCCTCACCTGGCGTGCTTTCCACCCTTTCCACCTGGGCCAGTTCTTCAGAAGCTGGAAATGATCCATGGTGTGGGTCCCCTCAGCGAGCAGCTGCCCAAGTGCCTCTTGCACACATTGTGGGGATTCCCTGGCTCGGGGATTCCTCGGCAGTGCCCTGGCCACAGCACATTTTAACTTCAGCTACCATAGCTGATTTCTAACTGGGCAAAGCAGTGCCGTGTGGAAGTTTTACTGCAGCTGTTGTGCTGAAGCTGCCCACGGCTGACATCTCCATGCCTGTGGTTCTGGTATCCCTAGCATAAGGACATGAAACTGTTGGAGAAAGTCTACAAGACAGCTATGAAGTTGATAAAAGGAGTGGAGCACCTCACCTGAAAACAGGCTGAGAAAGTTTGGGCTGTTGAGCCTAGGGAAGAGAAGGTTGTGTGGAGACCTCATAGCAACCTTCCAGTATCTGAAGAGGCTACAGGGAAGACTCCTTGTCAAGAACTGTAGTGACAGGACAAGGGGAATGGAGACAAAGTGAAAAACGGGAATTTAAATGAGATATTAGGAAGAAATTCTGTGCTGTGAGCATGGTGAGACTTTTCATGGTGAGAACGGGTTGCTTAGGGAGGTTGTGGATTCCCCATCCCTGACAGTTTCAATACCAAGTTGGAGATAAGGCCCTGAAGCTACATGGTCGAGTGGGAGGTGTCCCTCACATGGCAGGTTGGTTGGGACTAGATGGTCTTTAAGGTCCCTTAGAACCCTTTGGCATTCTATGCCTCTGTTTCTCAATGGGAAACACTGTGCAGCTCTGGCACTGCTCTAAGCCGTCCGCAGCACTGAGCAGTTCGCCGACAAACCCCCAGCCGGCCCCGCTGCTGTCCCTGGCAGCGCAGCTCGGGGCGTTGCTGCCCGCCGCTTCCTCAGAGCCCGCCCCCGGGCCCGCCCGCGCCTCGTCTTTGGCGCGAAAACGACCGCGGGGGGCGGGGCTCTGCCTCACAGCGGCCGCTGATTGGTCGGCGCGGCGGGCGCGCAGCCCACGTGGTGCGCGGCGTGGCGCGAACCGCTGTGGGGCCGGGAGGACCAGCGGCAGCGATCGGGATGGATCTGGCAGTGGCGGCGGTGGGGGGCGCGGGCGCGGCGCCGCAGCACCAGCAGATACGCGATNATCCGCGATGAAGTGGCCGAGAAGTGCCAGAAGTTGTTCTTGGACTTCCTAGAGGAGTGAGTGCCGGGGGCCGGGCCTGCCGGCGGACGGGCAGGGCCGACAGCGGGTGGCGGGCCGGCAGCGCCTCACGGAGGGGCCGCCATTTGGCAAGATCCTGTCAGGGCCTGGTGTCCCCTCCCCTTGACGTTCAGCTGGAGAGGCTCTGCTGTGGTCTCCGGCTCTGCCGGGAGGAACCTGTAGGAAGGCAGCACGCTGTTTTCTTGCTAGGCAAAGCACTTCTCGGAGAGTTTCCGCGGAAACTTTGCCCAGAGGACTTGGGATGTCCTGGAAGTGAACAAGACCAGGTTGGATGTGGCTTTGGGCAGCCTGGTCTTGTGGAAGGTGTTACTGCACGTGGCAGGGGGTTGAAACGAGATGATCGTAAAATTCCTTCTAAACCAAACGATTCTATGATTACATGATTTTTTAGGTGCATTTGGTCCCTTTTAACAAAGTTTTGTCCAGCTGTATTGAAAACCCTTTCTGCTGTTTGTTTAATGTACACATTATTACATCTGGCTCCCTGCGTATTGCCTCCTGAGGGGCCCTTCCGCATCTAATAAGGAAACCATTAACATCACCCAGAGGAAACAGAACCTTGTTTGCTGGTGCAGAGCAATTTTGTCTGGCACTGGGATAACTCTCCTGCTCTATGAAATGTAAACCTGGTGTGTCTGTCCTAGAGTCTGGATAGGGCAGACATAGCAAGGGGGTGGATTAAGAAACATAGTTGGAAAAGGGCTTTGCTAGGGACTGTGGGATGCCTGAATGTGTGTGATCCTTTTCTCTGTCTTTTTTCCTGAATTCAGAAATATTTA